TTTAAAAATAGAGTATCCAATAGACTCTATTAATTTTTATTTAATAGACGTTAACTTTTCATGTGAAACCCACAATTTTTAATTGAAATGACACGTGGCACTTCATCTCACAAATAAAGGTGTAAATCTAGCCATGAATTATTTTTTTAAGAGCATTAGTAACCTCTACTATAAAAAAAATCATCCAACACCTTCCCATCAATTTTGGCTAAACACCATTTATTTTCATATTTATAGGACCCACAACATATCAATCTCTCCAATCTTCTTGCCTTTATTCTTAGTCTCAACTCCAAATAAGGAGGCTTAAAGCATTCTTATTTGAAGAAATTCACAAGCATGATGCTAGCAAAGTAGAAGAAGAGGAAGAAAATAAGGCATCGTTTAAATACCTATAGCTATTCAAGCCAAGTAGTAGTTTGAATTGTGATGCTATAACATATGGGAGAAGCTTAATTGAAGATTAATTTAGCTACAAATTATTTTTATAGAAAATGAAATGATTGATCAAGCTTCTCCCATATGTAGTAACATCACAATTCAAATTTCTACTTCACTTGAATTGCCACAAAGATTTAAATGAAGACTTGTCTTCTTTCTCTTCTTCTTCTACTTCATTGGCATCATCCTTATGAATATCTTAAGATAAGAACTCTTTGAGTCTCTTTTTCTTGAGCTAAGACTAATAATGAAAGCAAGAAAATTTGAGATATTGACACGTTGAAGATCTCACAAGTTCAAAAATAAATGACATTTAGCTAAAATTGATGGCAAAGTGTTAGATGATCCCTTTTTTATTGTAGAGGTTATCAGTTCTCCTCAAAAGATAGTTCATGGCTAGATTGCACCTTTATTTGTTGAGGTAGAATGCCATGAGTCATTTCAGTAAAAATTTTGTAGGCCCCACATGAGAAGTTAACGTCCGTTAAATAAAAACTAACTGAGGCAACTAGATGCTCTGTTTTTTAAACTTGATAATTTCTTCCGCACTACATTATAATAAAATTACCCAATGTTCCTAAAAAAATAGTTGAGGGCTAAATTTGTACCTTTACCCTTCTTTATATATGCAATAATTTGTTAAAGCTTGGTATATACCCCACCTTGCCATAGTTCTTGTGAAATGATGTATTGAGAACTGTTCTCTACAATTCCAAACAAGTGTTGAATACTATCCTATGTTTTGATGATATTTTTTTTCTAAAAAAAATAGTTAGAAAGAATGTTTTGCAAGTCTAGATGTTTAACCTATAGTAAAACACCAAATTAAAGGGATAACATCGAAGGCCTTAGGCATAGATTTCTTATTAGTTGACTGAAAAATTACAAAACAGACTTAAAATTACATAAAAGAACAAATAAAATTGCAAGTAGGTGCCCTATAAAAAACTAGTATTTATTAAGTTCTTAAAATAATAGTTAGTTAAAATCGTATTTTAACTTTTTACATAAATATAAGAAATAATATATGTATCCTGTTATATGTAATTTATGAGAATTAATTAATATTAATTTTTTATAAGGTACTTGTATGTAATTTTATGAGTTATTTTTCATAAATTTTGATATCCTTTTCTATAATATAATTTTTAAGTCAACTAAATTAACATTTTTTAACCCCCCATAATATTTAATGCATTATTTTTAAATGTTGAAGGGAAAAGTTGACTGTGCACATTAACAAATATTACTTCTCTCTTTACCTTCCCCCCATGTTGTGCACTATTTTAACGGGAAAAAATGTAAATTCTTTCCAAGAGTATAAAACAATCATTCGTGTAAGTAATAATGATAATATACATCATCCGCGTCCTACTTTTATTTCGATTTACGCTTCCAACTCTACACATGGCGTCATACGGTGGTTAAATAATGTTTTGAATCTTGTATAATTTTATATTATTGCATTCACTTTAGTCGTTTAAATTTAACTTTTACTTCATAGTATATGTATAAAATAAAATATTTGTAACATGTATAACAGCCCTAATTTGACAAATTATATGTCAATTATCCTTATGTATGAAGTTAATAATTCAACTTCCATCTAATACAAACTAAAAATTTTAAAAATAAACCGGTATGAATTAAATTTAAAGAATATGTAAATCGCTATAATATATATGTAATATAAAATTTATAGGATATTGCACTTACGACTCTTATTAATTAGATATCCCGAAGCATAAATGGGCTTGTTTGGTTTTTTTTTTTTGTTTTTATGTTCTTAGAACAATTCTTAGATTTTTTGGAACAAGTTTGATTCTAAAAAATAACAAAAAAGTTGTTTGAATTATTATTATTAAAAACATAACTATCATTAATAAAGACATGAAATTTTTTTCCTTTTTCTTTAGTTTTGTAGAACAAAAAGTAACAAAAGATATAAAATATGTTCTGATTTTTTAGTTTTTAGAACAACTTTTAACTTTTTTATTTTTCAGAATAGGTAACAAACATATGTTTTCAAACAATTTTTTTTAGTTTCTTATTTTTCAAAACGAAAACTTTTTCGGGAATCAAGTAAGCAAAGAGGCTCATTATCATTTATCCAAGTTTTGGTTTTGGTTAGAATAATAGCAAGTCGCTGTCAATTTCATATAAGATTATTAATCCAAGATTGTAATTATCGACATGCTTTTGTGATTATTATAATATAATAAGAATATAAATATGAAAGCACAGCTTCACTCACATCTTAAAAATTCTGGCTCATTTGTTTTAAACTTGAAGCTAAAGCTGTAATGGGCAAGTAATGAAAATTGAATGTGGTTAATAAAGCTTGCATTGGAATCCAAGAAATATGAACCTCCTTTGGTCAACACCTCTTGTTTCTTAAGCAAAATCTCTCATCCACACATATTCAATTTTAATTGGACCTTATAATATTGAATATTAAATTTAACTAAGTGAACATACTATTTGTTAATCATTTGGTACCTATGAATTGGGAATAGTACGGTTTACTACAACTTTATAATTTATAATATTAATGATGATTAGTATCAATGATACTTTTAAATTCATACCAATAACCAGATTGGAATTAATATGTTTCTGAACATATACCCCTCCCATCGCAATTTATAAGACTGTTTTGTTTCAAATTATATATTACCAATGAAATTCGTTAATTACAATTTACAATCTTAATTTTTTCTATAAACTTTCAAAAACATCTTTTATTAATAAGAGAGAGGGAAAGTAATTTATTTAAGAAGTGAAATGATGAATGGTAATATATACATAATCATTATTAATAAAATTTTAAGGGTTAATATGCAATTTAAACCCTGAACTATAGGTTCAAGGGTGATTTGAACTATAAACTTGTATTTGGTACATTATGAATCCTAAATAATTAAATTTAAAGCAATTTTTCTCCACTGTTAAATTAAAATAACCATCTGTTACTTTTTGAAAAATGGGGTCTAATGTTCAATTTTCCTCAAAGGAGGGAAGGAGAGAGAGGGAGAGTGGAAAAATTGCACATCAAGCCTCACTTTTTAAAAAAGTAATGGATGTTTGTTTTCATTTAATGATGAGGGCAAAATTACTTCAAATTTAACTGTTTGCGATTTAAAATGTATCAAATATGAGTTTCAGGTTCAAATTGCTCATCAATCTATAATTTAGGGTACAAATTGCATACTAATACAAAATTTAACGTTATATATTTTGAAAACTAGATTACTTCCAAAAATATTTTATAAAATTGGATGGAGGAAGTATTATATACATAATAAAACATTCATTTTTATCTATTTTTAAGGGTTTTTGGTAATCTTAAATTTTGAAATATTTCAAACTAGCTTGATTAAGAGTTGATTCATTGGTCAAATCAAATCAACCAAGTTTAATTTCACAAATAAACTTAAGCCTCTCAAATTGTCCAAGAAAGTCATCATTTCTTGCTCAGAATTTTTCAGCATAAAATGGACCACTATTGGCATGCACATTGCACAATAAGCAATCCAATAACAATATTCTAAACCAAGCAATAAAATATAAAGCATTAACAAATTAACTTAGCCACAAAAAATCATGACACATGTTAAATTATGTAATCATGAAGCTTAAGACTAGGACAACAATGCGTATGTGTGTTTACAATGCCCCAAGTTGGTCTTGACCTACACCATATATATAACCATATTAGAGGTGATTATTGGACTTGTGTGGATATCACCATGTTGACCAACACCTCTTAGTGGCTAAGACCAATAAAAAATAAATTACAATTTTATTTATTAAAATTAAAATTTTTCTCATCTAATTTAGAATATATAATTTTTTGACAAAAAATGAAAAATATTTTTATTTTTATATTCCCAAAATAACTATATTATTTAGTCTTTGTCATTATATTTCAATAATTTTTCATATAGTCTTTGTCATTATATTTCAATCAATTCTTTATTATATACGTTTTTTAATCTTACTTTTTAATTTCTTTTTTTTAACTTAAACGTATTTTTTATTTGCTAAGATAAGTCATAATGTGTTGCTACTGTATCAGTAAAATTGAATATAATATAATACTGGCAAAAGCTTAAGAGCAGAAACTGTATGGAGAAATAAAAAAATAGAATAATTTTTTATTAAAAAAAAGGTAGAGTTTTTTCTCATAAAGAAAATTATCTCACGCTTCAGTCAAGTTTTTTTTTTTTTTCCTAATAAGCTATCCTCTATTCACATTAAATTAAATGATATTTTTTTGTAATTGGTATTTTTTTGTTCTGACAGTAGTTCTTGTATGTTTTAAAAATAGAGTAGAAACCTCACATTTTTAGTAAAATTAGAAAAATGAGTCTGATAATTTAATTATAAAGAGTAAGATTGTTAAGAGAAGTTTCTCCTGAGGAAGTAATCTTAGGCTTCAATGTGATACTGACATTTCCAATAAATATATAGTGCTTTCAAACATTATTATGAATTCAATCTTTGAAGCTTCGTCCTCCACCACCATAACCATAATAAATTAAATTATTAGTATCAAAGAAGCTTATGCGATCCTTTGATCTTTGGCCATCTTCATAATCATATATATATGTTTCTTCTTCTTGCACATCCTCTTCAATATTAGATTCTTGTAATCTAATAACCGACAACTACTAAACATGTTTTCCCAGAAAATCTTCATTAGATCATTCTCTTCTCTTCTTTTTCTTCTTCTGATTCTTCTGAGAACATCTGTAGCTGATGGAGATAGCCAAAAGGTGGGTGGGTGGGTGGGTGTGTGTGTGAATTTCACTGTTTTAATTATTATATGGAGGTTTTTAACTGTTTGATTTATTATTACATGTTGGAGATTGTTCATTATTTTTTTGTTTTTCTCTGCAGAATTTCTACATTGTTTTCTTGAGAGGTGATCCTGCTGATGAAAGCCCAGAAAATAATTTGCAGATTGAGAGTACTCATTTGAATGTTCTATCTTCTGTAAAAAGAAGGTGCGTAAATGGCCTTACCAACTCAAATACTCTATCTTCCTTCTCTCTGTCTCTATCTCTTTCCAATCAGAAAATTAAAGCAAGAAGACAACAAAATTAAACTAGACATAATTTTTAAATATTAATTAATTTATTATCAAGTTCTTCAAGAAAATCATTGCGAGTTTAATATATTTATCATTATGTGTTCGCAATTCGTATCGTACGTAGCCACCATGAAGCAAGAGAATCGATGGTATATAGCTACACAAAGAGTTTCAATGCGTTTGCTGCAAAATTATCTGAGGAAGAAGCCAGAAAGTTATCTGGTATGTGTTTATTATTATCATAATTATTTTTTAAAAATAAAATTCTGGTTTAATTATTTCTCTAGCCAGAATATAGATTTGCTAACTTTTGTGAATTAATATGCAGAAATGGAGGAAGTTGTTTCGGTGATTCCGAATCGATATCGTGAGCTACACACAACAAGATCATGGGACTTCATTGGCTTACCTTTAACTGCTAGGAGAAGATTGAAGCTGGAGCGAGACATTATTGTTGGTCTTCTCGATACAGGTTAATTATTCTTTTTTTCTTTTTTTTTTCTTGCAGAATTTCTATATTGTTTTGATGTAAGTTATCACTGCTTTGTAAATAACAGTCCCTCTCGTTTTAAATATAGGAGCTAGCAAGGGTTTATTTGTTTTAGTTTTAAATATAAGATCTTAATTTACTTTATCTCTCAAATTTATAATTTTTTAAAAAACTATTCTTGTTGATTGTACATGTTAAAGGTGTTTCTATTAATACGGGTAGTTTCAAATATAAATGATTAAATGAATATTTTAGAAAAAAAAACTAACATATTTTTTACAAATAAATAATTCAACTAAATTTTTTATGTTTGGTTTGGATGGAGGGGAAAAGTACGAGAAAAATAAAGAGGAGAGAATACTATGAAAGAAAATAGCTAAAAATAGTATAAAAAACTATTTATTATTTTTATTGTTTTTCTTCCTAATATTCTTTTTTCCATATTTTTTTTCAAGGGTCGAGCTTTCAGTGAATTAATTACCAATGTCCTACTTAGACCTATGTGGGTCTCTTTTTCTCACATATAGTTTTTTTTTTTTAAGGAATTGAATATTTTAAAAGTGTATTAGGTGTTGTTTTAAGACTTAAAGGGAATTTAAACTTTGATCCATTTTAAATCAAGTATAAAAAAGACAAAGAAAAGAAATAAGGGGACGAGTGGAACTCAACCTGTCAAAAATGAATCCCATTATTATTCATACGATACTATATATGCCTAAAATAATGCATTTTAGAAAATTTTGAATCCTTATTTATTCCAATATCTCATCACTATATTGGTGATTATAGGATGATGTTTTAATGGTTTTATTTTCTGTAATTTCATTTTCTTTCATGAATTGATATGATAAAGAAATGGACTTTATTTGTTGATGAGGCAGGGGTGACACCTGAATCAGAAAGCTTCAACGATGATGGGTTAGGTCCTCCACCAGCAAAATGGAAGGGATCTTGTGGACATTTTGCTAATTTCTCAGGATGCAACAAGTAAATTTCCTTTCCTAGCTTGTGTTTCACATTGATGTTGTTCTACACTATAATTAGAAAATGAATGTCATGCATCAAACATATTTTTCGTATTTCGTTTTGTCTCGTTTCATGAAATTTACTTCAGACATTTGCTGCGACAAAAGTGGGACCTACTTTCCGAATTTAGTACCAAAAAAAGGAACGTTTTCCTAATCTGAAAATATCCAGAATATTACCCAAAAAAAAAAATAGTTTCACGTTTTAAAAGTCTAGTTTTTTCTTTATTAAATTACCCCTTTAAAAAATGAGATAAACACTTTTTTTAGAATTATAAGTGATAATCTTTCACCAAAAAAGAATTAGAAGAAATAATCAATTGATAATTTCTTTCTTCACATTTATTAAAGGAAAACGAAGGTCGAGTAAATAACTCACATATGTCTGTGTGAAAGTTCATACCACACTGTTGTACTCAAATAACAGCAGTCTTTTTTAATGTGAAATTTTCATTTGGCTTTAATCCCAAAATTTTTATATCCAAATCTGAATATGCAAATTATTTTTAAAAAAATTATTGTATGGGTAATGTTTTTTTAAAAATAAAAAGGAAACATAGTCATTGGTTTCTATAGTTTCGTTAATAATGTTAAGTTACAGGAATATAATGACTAAACAAATTATGAGGACTAAAAGCAAAAGAAGAATCACATTTAAAGACCACTTAAATAAATTATTCATCAATAAGAACTAATAATAAATTTCATTCAAAGAAAAGAAAATCATATTTTCATTTTAATAACAATTTATTTTATATTAATTCTTATTTATAAATAATTTTGTTGAGTGGTCCTTGGATGTAATTCTTCCAAAAACAAAACCCAATAAAATTATAAGAATAAGTGATTATATTTTTTCAAAATAAAATAACCATGTATACAATCCTGAGAATGCAAAATATACACTTGTTATATGAATTTTGTTAGAAACTTTGATAGAAATAGAACGTATAAAACTGTAAATATATATAAATTTCCCTCTTTAAATTTCAAATATCTTAGCTAGTAACTATCAGAAATTTCACAAATCATACCATAGCCTAATTAATTTATCTAACCAAGTGTACCCTTTCTTATTGTCAAAACTCTTGAAGCAAGCTCATAGGAGCCAAGTACTTCAAGCTAGATGGCAATCCAGACCAAGAAGACATACTGTCTCCCATAGATGTGGACGGCCATGGCAGCCACACTTCCTCAACAGCAGCCGGAAACCTAGTCCGGAACGCGAGCTTATTCGGGCTGGCCCAAGGGACGGCTCGTGGGGCAGTGCCATCAGCAAGAGTGGCGGCATACAAGGTATGTTGGGAGAGCAGTGGGTGTGCAGACATGGACATACTTGCAGCATTTGAAGCAGCCATACATGATGGAGTGGATGTGATATCAATCTCCATCGGAGGAGGCGATCCGAGCTACGAGAAGGATTCGATAGCGATCGGATCCTTTCATGCTATGAGAAAAGGGATCATCACTGTGGCTTCAGCTGGAAATGATGGCCCTTCTTTGGCCAGTGTTGTGAATACTGCACCATGGCTTTTTACTGTGGGAGCTAGTGGCATTGATAGGCAGTTCATCAGCACTGTGCAGTTGGGGAATGGAAAAAATGTCTCTGTAAGTCTCATTGATCTCTTCTTGGCGTTAATGAAACTAGCACTGTATGTTCAAGATGAATTTTGTTCGGAAAAATTGGTGGCCACAAGGACCACAAAAGGCCCAAATATTTGGGCATAAGTCTCGGGCGAATTCAGAAATAAAGCCTACAAAGGAGTATGGTTCTTGAGGGACAATATGTTTTTCAGTAAAATTATCAAAATACCCTTCATTTTTCTGCACTTATCTCCAGATTACGGATTATTGAAGATTCATGGATTACTTCAACAGATTAGTGAAAAAGAAGGGTATTTTGTTATCTTCTCTGGAAATTAATTGTCACTTCAGGACCATTGTTCTCTACAAGCTTTATTTCTGTCTTTGGAAATTATGCCCTCTTTGTGGTCCTTGTAACCAATTTTTTCCATTTTGTTTTGCATGTGTATATATAGAGTACTAGTACTTTAGGTTGAACTTTTATCAAACTTCAGAGATTGAACTTTAGATGGTTCAGAATTTTGTGAAGTTTCTTGAAGCAATTATTTTTAACTGTTGCATTCGTTGAGATAGTTTTACGTTGTGCCATATGAGGCTGAGACAAAAGAGAATTGACAAAAGAGAATGTACATGACAGATAATAATTTTTACAAGCTAATATGTCACTTTATCGAGTAAATTTTCACGGTGAAATTATTTGTTCAATTATGTGAATCAATATATATATATATATATACACATATTGCAGGGAAGAGGGGTGAACACTTTCAATCCAAAGCAAAAGCAATATCCTCTTATAAATGGAGCTGATGCAGCCGCAGCCTCGGCAAGCAAGGAAGAAGCTAGGCAAATATTAATAATTTTTCAACAGCTTAAACAATTATTAGTCACCGTCATGATATGTTAATATAGAATTTGATTTAATTATTATTAGCTGCTTCATTTATTTATTTAATTTGGTTGCAGATCCTGCTATGAAGATGCCTTGGACCCAAAGAAAGTGAAGGGAAGGCTTGTTTACTGCAGACCAGATTCATCTGGTTCGGAATCTGTAGTGAAAGGACTCGGAGGCATTGGAGCCATAATTGAGAGCGAGCAATATCTTGACCTTGCTCAAATTTTCATGGCTCCTGCTACAGCTGTTGATACCACCATTGGTGAATCTATCACTAGTTACATAAAATCCACCAGGTATAATAACATCTTCCTTTATCACCTCAAGCTAACACACTCAAGCATAGAAAATTATATGAATGACAACTTTATATCTGGTAATGGAATACTTAGATTTGGATCTCCTGAGATACATTAATTAGGGATGAAATAGAAGGATCAAGCTTCTTTTTTTTATTTTTTTGGTTTTGGTCTATCAAAGGGACTTGGTTCCCCTCCTCCAACCCCTATTAAATATGAACAGTCTAGATTTAAATATTTTAATTTTAACTTTTATTTTATATTTATTAAAATAAAAAATTATAATTTTTTGTTAAATCTGATTAGTAATTTGGATGGTCCAAATTTAATATAGATAATCCTAATTTAATATTAAATATGTACGGTAAAAAATATATCTAAATAGTTAATTTATAAAAATTAAAAAAATTATTAAATATAATCACCAGTCTAGACAATTTAAATTTAATATGAATGGTCTAAATTTAATATTAATTTATTAAATTCAAACTTTCCAAGTTAGTAATGAAACATGTTTATTACTTTCTTCATTCAAAAATGTAAAGTATTTTTAATTGAATCTTACCCTCTAATAAAAAAGTTAATCATCTTTAAACTAACACAATCTTTCCATATTATCCCTATTTAATAGAATATTTCACCCTAAAATAAATATAAAATAATTTATTCAATAAGGAACTTTTGAAAAAATGTAATAACTATACCTTAAAAGATTAAAAATATTTTATATTTTTTAATATCTAACTCTTAAAAAAATACCTTACATTTTTAAACAGAGGGAATATAATTTTTTTAAATTTTTTTTATAAATATAAAAAAATATTTTAAATCTAGACACCCAAATTCATTGTCCCTCATGGGAGGGATAGCGGAGGGAATCCAACTCCTTGTCAAAATGGATAAATAAACTTGCGCCCGGTCACATTTGGAGAAAATTTAAACCCATTGAGAGATACATGAAAAGGTGAGACCTACATCTATAGAGGTAGGGCCCACTCTTCTTCACCTTACTTTTCAAGGAATGAAATATTTCAACCGATTTTAGATTCTTTGACACTCATATGTAAAATTAAACAATAGAGCTTAGTATTAAAATTTGAGCTAATTCATACGGTTAAACCAATAAATTAAATCATTAAATCAATGTCTTGACTGATTTTATAAAAAGTTTCATTTATAAACTATCAGGTTACAATTCAACTATAATTTTAACCATTAATATTTAAATTAATTTTTTAACCAATTCACTTTTCAATAGCTTATAATGGAGTGATGTTGAAAACTTGTCACTATTAATCCACTCATACTTAGAAAATTAGTCGCATTATAAAAGCTAAGCTTTGGATACTTGAATTTGGGTCAAATCATAATCAAGGATGAAGTAGCAGAGTCAAGCTTCTCTCCAAGTTTTTTCGGGCTTTGGTGCGTCTAAGCGCATACAAATTTAGCCCAAGACAAGACCATAAAGAATCAAAACTGTAAGCAGAGAGAAATACATGAACGCAGGGTGAGAGGCCCACATCTATAGAGGTGGGACCCACTCTGGTTACCCCACACCACTCGAGTTTTAGGAGAATTAATGAAGTATTTTAAAATATCCAGATTATTTATAACAGTCATATGAGACAATTAAATTGATCAGTACTACTATTAACCACACATTACATATTTCATCCTTTCTGATAACTGATGTGAGGTTTTATCATGTTTAATTAAGATCACCATCAGCAGTGATATATAAGACCCATGAAGTGAAGAAGTCAGCACCATTTGTTGCTTCATTTTCTTCTAGGGGTCCAAATCCAGGTTCCATTCATATTCTCAAGGTAATAACCATTGATGATTAATTGCAAGCGTAATTAATTTGAATCACCACCAACATTTAATTAAATGATATGACTGATCAGAGATTATTTGTGATGTGTGCAATGATGATGATGATGCAGCCTGATATTGTAGCTCCTGGGATCAACGTATTGGCATCTTATACACTGAGGAGGTCAGTGACAGGTGAGAAAGGAGACACTCAATTTTCAAAATTTACACTAATGTCTGGAACTTCCATGGCTTGTCCTCATGTCTCTGGAGTAGCAGCTTATGTCAAATCTTTTCATCCAAATTGGTCTCCTGCTGCTATTAGATCTGCCATTATCACTACAGGTGTGTAATTTTTCTTTCTTATATGTTTATTGAAATTTTATATATATATATATATATTCATAATTTAGATGGACCTTGTTTTGTTAAAATTCATAATGCATTCCTTTCTATTTCAAGAAAAACTTGTGTATTATAAAAAAATAGAAGGCAAGATTCCATAATCTCAACAAAGCTCAAGAGAGACATTTGCGTAATCTTTTTGTTTTCATGAAAAAAAAAAACTAAGTATGTGTTAAAAATTTATAAACCTAATTAAAGTATACACAAACGTTCCGTGGAAATACATAAAAGAGGATATCCATGTAATTTTAACAAAATTTATATGTCTATATAATTTATTTTTTATTTTGAATAGAAATTCATGTAAATTTTGAAACTAAAAAAATTGTAATTTTAACAGAATTTAGAAAGACCATGCTTAGTTCATTAGAAAAATAAAACAAAAATAACTTTACTTAATTATCAAAAATAAAAAAATACACATAATCATCAAATATAACAGACATGCGCAGAAACATGCTAACGCACGCTTGCACAAAAAAAAAAAACACACATACACACACAAAAGTAATTGAAATGGAATTTCTTCTTCCGTATAGTATTATAAAGTACTTTTAATAGAATTATATCTTTTAATGAATTAATTAATTATTTTTAAAGTTAAACAGTTTTTTATATGTTTACTCTTATAATGAATAGGATGTCTTAATTAAAACCTTATTAATCACACAATTAGTTAAGGGTATTTTTGAAGGGGGAAAAAACATTGTTAATTTCATTTTAAAAGACTCAAAATACTTTATATTTTTAACATAATACTTTTAAAAAATATCTTATAATATTAAACAGAGAATACAAGCTGAATTAATATAGTCCTGGCTTCCAGTACTTTGACACATATATTGGAGTGATAATATTTCAACAAATGAAGTTTAGTTTTGTGCAATTTAGTGATACAAAATATGTTGTATTTTGGCTGATATATGTTGGTTTCATGTGTGGCATGCGTACATGAAGCCAAACCAATGAGCAAGAGAGTGAACACGGAAGCAGAATTTGGTTACGGAGCAGGTCAAGTGAACCCAACAAGAGCCAAAAACCCTGGTTTAATCTACGACATGGACGCCCTCTCCTACCTTCAATTCCTCTGCCACGATGGCTACAACGGCTCCGATCTCTCCGTCTTCACCGGCTCTCACATCAACTGCTCCTCCATCCTCCCCGGCCTCGGCCACGACGCCGTTAACTACCCAACCTTCCAGCTTAGCTTGCAGTCCAAGAAACCCTCCACACTCGCTGTGTTTCGAAGGACAGTCACCAATGTAGGACCTGGTCCTGCCATGTTTAATGCCACCGTTACGGCTCCTAAAGGTGTGGAAGTCACGGTGAGTCCGATGAGTCTGAGTTTCTCAAGGACGCTTCAGAAACGGAGCTTTAAGGTTGTGGTTAAGGCTAAGCCCATGGCTAGCATGAAGATTGTGTCTGGTTCGCTTGTTTGGAAGAGTTCACGTTATGTTGTTAGAAGTCCTATTGTGGTTTATAGTCCATAATGGGAATTACGTATTAATTGAACAATGTGTTAATCAAAATAAGTTATAATGCAAACATAATTAAAATCATCCTTAAAAATATTGTTTTAGGTATAAAAAAAGTGTTCCATTCTCATCAAATACAAAATGCTGAGGTATTATTGGCTTGCCTCATATCAAGTTGAGGGGACTTAATAAGCAGGGAACCCAAATTAAAGTAATCCAAATTAAATAGTGTAGGATCGACTTTTTTGGGCAGCAAGCCCAACTACCACAAAGTTTTAATACTATTGCATTTCCAGGATTCGAATAAATATTAGACGAAGACCTGTGAAAAAATGATTAATTACTTGTTTGTGATTTAATTACCAATCTCTTTTGTTCAATATTTGTCAATCAAATAGAGAAATTTATAACTTATCTTATATGTTTTTTTTTTTGCACAAATTCTTTATAGACCTATTCATAATTAATTTTTTATCTAAATTTTTCTTTGTAAATCATTAATATCTATATATAGACACACGTACATACGTATGATGAAATAACTCATTCTTAAAATTTTTTTATGTATACTATAATAAGAAGAAAACAATTTTACCAATAAAAGTTGATCTATGTGATAAAGATTTTGCTCATAACTTAAAAGATCAAGAAATCAAATCTTATTACTAATACAGGGACTTTATTGATGGATAGTTTATAAATATCTTTGTAAGAAATTTTTAAATTTGGACGCATATCCTGATCCTAGTACCTCACTTACCTAAATTTTTTTTAGGGATGAAAAAAAGATTTACATGCTCAAATTTGAGTATTGCGTGAAGGTAATTTTTTCATGTATAATGTTAAAAAAGGGGTAAAAGGGCAAAAATACTTGTAAAATAGTCAGCCATGGACACCTAATATCTTAAAGTAAAAAAATAATAAAAATATCCATAACATTATATGAGTAGGTGCAAAAGTGATAAGATCATTAACTTTAGCCTAATACCGTTAACTTTGATCATTAAATATTGACTGTGCATGCCACGTGTCCGTCTTTGTTGACATGAACTAATAAAGGGGCAAAAATATCTGTGAAGTCACCAACCAGGAGCAAAAATACTCATAATGTTACCAAAATTAGTGAAAAAATGATCAATCCATTAAATCCCTTAAATTTTAACTATTTAGCTTATACTTAAATAAAAGTTGACTATTTTTTCATTGACATGAATAAAAATATTTCTAGATGAAATTCTCTAGAGTTTTATCGGTCATGATATGAACATGTGATAAAATGTCATTTTGACTAAATCACTTATTTCTTTGCAACAATGGTGAAAACCATTTGAAAATTTTAAACTTATTATAAATGAAATTACTAAGGTTGTGATAATGTTCTTAAGGTAGCGGCAAAAAAAGTGTGCTCAATCTTAATCTTTAAATGTGTACAACTTATTTCATTATATTGAATATCAAGTTTTGCAGACAAAAAAATGAGTGAAAAGGAAAGAAGAAAGGGAGTGAGATACATGGCGATGGAAAAAAACCATGTGGCATGAATTTTGACAGATTGATCATTAATTATAGGTACTAATATGATGATCAACCAACATTCATAAAAAAATATTTGGGAATATTTTTGATCTATATCAACAAAAAAATAATCAACTTTTACTTAGATGTCAGCTAAACAATCAACACCTAAGAGATTTGATGGATTAGTCATTTTTGCACAAACTCTAATAATATTATGAATATTTTTGCTTCTGGCCAATAATTTTATGGATATTTTTAACCTTTTATTAGTTCATGTTAACAAAGGGTGACACATGACATGTACAATTAGTATTTAACAGTCAAAGTTAACGGTTTAAATTAAAGTTAACAGTCTGATTACTTATACAGCTACTCATATAATATTAAGAATATTTTTATTTTTTTATTTTTACTTTAGGATAGTAGGAGTTTTTAATTGAAATATTTTTACTTCTTTACCCTAAAAGAAAATCATATTTAATCTCATCCAGGCAACCACCTAATGATTGTGAATCACATGTTGGCTACGAGAAGTCAAAACATAATGTAATGATGTGATTGCACACTTGCACGCAAGACGTTGCGTGGCGTGACGTAACCCAACCTTGAATTGGACTCCAAGGAACGTTCGAGATCGCATCAGAATGATATGTGAAAATCATGGATCATCATGAAGATGTAGATGGTGATGTACACCAAAGCAAGCCCATAACAATTTGTCTCTATGTAGAAACAATTTCATTTTTTTTGGACAAAAAAGAAAACTACGCATTTAAGATATCTAAAATTTCAAAATTTAATTGTTAATTATTTTAAAAATCAAAGTTATATATATATATAAGGATAAAAGAGTAAATTAATTTTTAAACTATAAGTTCAAAAATATATAAAATCTTAAACTTATTTTTTATGTAATAGTATCATTCAACTTTTAAAAATAGTATAATTCAATCATTTATCATTAATAAAAATTACTTTGACCATTAGTTATCTAAAAAATAACTTTAAAATTACAAAATAAGACTCATAAATTTTTTTGGTCCTTTTTCTATAATTTTTATGTCTTTTCTTATCATTTTTTTAATTAACTAGTGATTAAAGTTAACTTTTGTTAATGATAAGTGTTATATTGCACTATTTTTAAAAGTTAAAAAAGAACATTATACTAAAAATAAGTTTGAAATCTTAAACGCTTCTGGACCTATAGCTTATTAGAGGTCAATTTACTCTTTTATCTTATATATAAAGATAATAAAAGTTCATAATTAATTATGCAAAAAAAAATATGTATAGAATTTATTATTGTTTGTGTGTGAACATTATTAGAGATAAAGAAATCTCATATCTAATAATTAAAAAATATATTAAGAATATATAAAACATATGATATGTCTAACTAAATTATTTAAGTCATTTTGATGAAGTAGACTATATTCTGAACCATAATTAATATAAAAATTTAACATAATATCAAGTGTGATTCAATCTAGGGATGCAAAAGGAAAAAAACAACAACGAAAACAACAAAAAATTAAAAAAAAAACAAAAGAAGAGAAAAAGATATTAGAGAATGGAAAGATATTAAAGGAGGGAGCGTGAATATTATGGACCTAAGGTCTCAGACCAAAAAAGTACAAAACCATACAAGGAAAAAAAAAGTTAAAAAAAGCTACTAAAAAGAAGATTAGAGATAAAGTCATTAGGTCTAGTAGAAGAGGAGGTTGTTGTGCAACATAAAAAACTAAGGTTTAAACTCTTTATTGAGAGAATTGTTTATATTTAATGTCTAACTATATTTTGAATTAAATTCCCTCCTATAAGAAAATACCTATAAGCAATAAAAAAAACATTAAAAATCAAGAAATCCCACATCTAATGATTAAAAAATTAGAAAATAAATATAAAATTTGAGATATACCTAATTAAATTGTTTAAATTATTTTTGGTAAAGTAGACTATATCCTCAAATATAATAATTAATGTAAAAAAATTTGACAAGCATGTGTGTGTAACTTATGCAATTATTTTAATGACTTCAGATGAATTGTGCATGCAAACGCTTTTAGCCGCCTGTGGCATTAGATGAAACTAATACAATTAAATTGAAGTATCTTTGAAAAGTAAATGATTATTCTGAATTATTTAAATAATTTTAATTCATTTTCTTCAGATGAACAGTATCTAGCAATTCCACTTCCCTTGAACAGTAAGATTCAAAGAAATGAAAGTGTGCAGATGGATTGATTGATCATGAAGCACCAATTAACCCCACTTAATTGCTTAATTAGAAGTCTCACCCAAATAATGCTCCAAAATGGGTTTGGTCATCATCATTTTGGTTTCTGAACAGCTTCGCACACATGACACCACTAAATTTATTGGACTATATAGTAAATCCCATGATGTCCACAAACATGCATGTAATGTTTGTGGAAGTAGTATTGACTTCTATCATTAGTCAAAGAAAGAAATAATGATCAGCTGAAAATATTGAATAACTTGAATACAGAATAATTGTTTTGCCATCAATTAGAGCGACCGATGTCATCAATTGGCTGAAAGATGACAAACAAAATTGTTTAGTTTCTGTTTCCAATTTTTTATTTTTAAAATTTGTTTTGTAATACAGTATTTAGAATTGTTTTTCAAAACAAAAAATGAAAATCTATTTAATTATTTTAATTAAAAAGTTTGAAAATTAAAAAAATAAATTGACAATAATAGTTACATGTGGTTAATAGTAGTAATTTATAATAAAAATTAATCAAACTAATTATATTTTTTAATAATTAAGTGTAACATGTTTTGAAAACAAAAAAAACTTTAAGATGTTTTCATTTTTTATTTTTAAAATTAAAAAATTAGAATATATTAAAAAATAAATTCAAAACATTTATCCAAACAAGTTTTTAATTTTTTTTATTTTAAAATAGAAAACAAAAATCAAACAAGCCCTAATACTTGTTTGGATGGATATATGATGGGATGGAGGAAATGTTTTTTAATCTATAGTCCATTTAATGAAATTATACTAATTCAATCAAATAAAATATTATGTACCATTTTTTATGGCTTTTTCTTTATAATAAGACGTCCACTTCATTTCTTGCTTTTTTTTTTTACTATCATTAATATTAAAATAAATTTATATTTAATGCCATATGAATGTTATAATTTTATTGGTTTAACCTGAATGATGTGATATACCAGTCTATCTAAAAATGTATTCTCTCTCATTTGAGTCAAATTCGAAAACTTGTTCTCTCCACCGAAATCTTTATATTTGATTTCTATTAAAAACATGGAGAAAACATGCATATGTTGGATATTATAAAATATTTTTGAGTCTTTTAAAAGAAATTATTATAACTTAATAATATTAATTATTTTTAAGTCTATTTATTATTTTATAACATATAATTTAAACAACATATTATTTAAAATTATTTTTTAATTGTGATTAAATAGTTTTATATCCTAACATTATAAGATCTGCTTATAAAATACAGTGCTTGCTACAAGTTCAAAAAGAGCTTTTGTGTTCTCAGCCTTTCTCTTCTCTTTTATCACACTAATTCACTTTGCAATTACTTGAATTTATTATATGAATTTTCATTGTTTTGTGTCCCTGTGTTTAGTAGAAAGAATTTGTTTAATTCTAAGAAATTGTCGCACGATCAATTCAGTATGATGAAATAACTCTTAAGGATAATATCTTTAAACGCAATTTAGACTATAATTTTAGCAACCAGTGCCAACAACATATACATCACATGCTTCTTCCCCTTTTTTTCCCTTTTTTTTTTACTTTTCCTTTTATATTTTACCTGTTTTTTTAGTTTTACCCTCCTCTTTACTTTTCCTTTTATATTTTACCTGTTTTTCTAGTTTTACCCTCCTCCTTACTTTTCTCTCCATCTAAACATAAGATAAGAGCGGGAAGAGTGAGACAAAAAAGTTATCAAGACACGGCATTATTGCCTACAAATCAAATCAATCTCCTTCTAAAAATTTATATTGTTTGGATGAATATATTTAAATTTAAATTCAAAATATTACATTTAAAATTTATTTATTTAAAATCCTTCATTTAGATGTTTATCAAAAAAATCCTTTATTTGGGTGTAAAAATTTTTAAAAAGGGAAACAATCTAAAATTTTAAGCAGAAAAAGAAAATTAGAAGTGACTAGAATTTAGAAAAATTTTAAAATTACAAAAAAATTATAATAAAATATGAATTTATCCATAGACTATTAAGTATTCAAATGAGATATTTAACTTAAATCCAAGTTTGCATCTAACAACGCAACATAGATATTTTCTCATTATAATAATATCAAATTAAACTAGCCAGAACCACAAATAGTTTTAACTACTACTGATAACCAATAACTCAATCAGATTTCAGTTAACCTAAAATTTTTTATACACATATACTCTGATCATTAACCTAAGGGGCTTACACCAAGTTCAACCCAAACATAGAGGTAAATGATGAGTAATGCTTAGTGACAGCTCTTTTTAGCTACGTAGAGTAAAATATCTTGATAGCTTCTCTTTTTCATTCTTCTTTTCTTTCCCTTTCCTTTTTTAACCTTCAGTCTTCTTTTTACATGAATCTAGAGATAACCATTGAGATGATCGCATACCTCTTAATTCTGTGCTTCAATCTTGCAATTAACGTCCATTTTCCCTAACTCATCATACTGCTTCAATTTCACAAGTAGTACTATATCATTTAATTTCCTTCTTTACATTCAGACAAATATTGCATTAATGCTTCAATCTTTATTCAAGTGTATTATATCATCTCATAATGTTATCATTGTTCATATATATATTGCGCGTGCATACTTTCGTGAAGATAAAGGAAAGAAAAAGTTGACTTTTTGTATTGCATGAGCACAGCACATAATAATAATGTCCAAGTTCTTATCACCTTCTTCAACCTTCAGTGTGCGTGTGTGTATATATATAGCTATGCTCATTACATTTCTCATCTCAGAAATCTTTGCTCAAGTCTCAACATCTTTATAGAGGTATGAATCCTTACCCTCTCTATTTTCTCCTCTCCTCCTTCTGTAGTCTCTCCACGGCTCAAGTAGTTAAACTATAATCGTAGTCTAGACCTAGTTATTTTGTATTAGATTTTAATATTTCGATTGAAATATTACTTTGAATGGTTAAAATTTGATTTCAATTGCTTCATAAGAAATGTGAAAGGCATAAAGAGGGAGAAAAAATGTAATGAGCATAAGCCCAAAGGAAAGCCTATTCCAAAATACTAGTATATTAAGTGGAAGAGTCTAGGCATAAAAAGGGAGAAAAAATGTAATGAGCACAGGTTCAAAGAGAAAATATATTCCAAAATATTAGCATATTAAATAGAAAAGTCTCTCATACTTATAAAACCTCACACCACTTGTGAGGCTCTCCGATATAAAACTCGTAATAAAAACTAATGATAGTTGGATTGAGTGGGAAGGACTCTGATATATTATTTGAATATAATAGAATAGCTTCAAGTGCTGTGAATGGAAAAAAAAAAAAGCATATTAGAAGAGCTATGTTTATTTAAACTTGACAATATTTAAATCTGATTTAATAATACTAGATACCAAACAGCCATGTGAGAGAGAGAGAGAGAGAGAGAGAGAGAGGTCTGCATGTTTCTGAATTTTCTAATACTCTCATTTCTTTTCGTATACTGTTTGAAGCTTTGTTCAACCTAGCCACTGGTCCAGACTCTAGCAGTGGAACATATCTCATATATATGGAATAAACAAGTTTTCAATTGCATAGTTAATGCTGATATAGTATTACTGTTCTTGACACAAAACTAAGCATGCGAGCAAATTAATGAAATTAATTAACTTGTATGTTAATTAATTAAGGATGTTTGTTGGTTAATAATTCCTTTTGGTTACAGGTACCATGATTTTCAAAACACTCATACTATTATTTTTGCTAACCATGATGATGGTGACAAGCACATCATCATCAAGAGCTGTCATGGACGGCAAACAGACCTACATAATCTACATGGACAAGACCAAAATCAGATCCTCTATTCATTCTCAGGACATCACAAAACCATGGTACAAATCAGTCCTTGATTCCATTTCCCAAGAAGCTTCATCATCATTATCAGAACAAGATCGACAATCCTCATCAAATAATCCTGACCTTCTTTACGTATATGAAACCACCATGTTTGGTTTCTCTGCTCATCTATCACAAACCCACCTCAAATCCTTAAACCAGATCGAAGGTTTTCTCAGAGCCATACCAGATGAACTAGTGCACCTCCACACAACATACACACCTCATTTTCTAGGGCTTTCTAGTGGAACAGGGCTTTGGAGTAAATCAAACTTAGGCTCTGATGTGATCATTGGAGTGCTTGATTCTGGGATTTGGCCTGAACATGTGAGTTTCAGAGAGTCAGCAGGGATGCTTCCAGTACCTTCTAGATGGAAAGGAGTGTGTGAGAATGGGACACAGTTTTCTTCGGGAAACTGTAACAAGAAGCTAATAGGAGCAAGAGCGTTCTTCAAAGGGTATGAGAAATTTGCTGGGAAGATCAATGAGAGTACAGATTATCGGTCTGCAAGAGATTCTGAAGGCCATGGAACTCACACTGCATCTACTGCTGCTGGTGGCTTGGTGGAAAATGCTAGTCTTTTTGGCCTTGCTGGAGGTACAGCCGCTGGAATGAGGTAATTTGTTAATATAGAGTGGAGGCAGTATTTACATATACAGAACTAGTTTGATTATGTTTTATGTCTTTTAGTAGAATAATTTTTTAGAATAAGCTTTGAAAATAAAAAAATATAAAAATATTTTTGAATCATTATTTTAAAAAACATATTTAAATTGATGAGATAAAGGGTAAAAAAGTAATTTAATTTTATTTAGAGGTAGTGTGTGTAGTCTTTTTATTTATTTTAATATCTGTAATCTTTAAATTTTGACAGAAAGTACATTTTTAGTCATCTAATTTACATAAAGTTTTAGTTTTATTTCTTAATTTTATAAAGCATATTTTTAGTTTTCAAACCTTAACAATGTTTTTTTTAATGATAATCATTTTTTGTGTTAATTTTCTATTTTAAAAATATTTTATCAACATTTAAAAGTTCAATTTCAGGATTTTTTTTATTAATGAAACTAACTGTGTTAAAATTATTATAATTAAGGATGAAAACTATTATAATTAAGGATGAAAAAGCATTTTATAAAATTAAAGCATCAAAATAAAACTTCCTAAAAAAAACTAAAAAGACACTTTTATTCCTTAAATTTTTAATCCAATAAAAAATATGATTGCCTACACTTTACACTGCAGGAAAATTCATAACACTGTGTTGACTGTTGTATAATAAGACAAAAGTACTAAATAGTGTGTGGTAGACTCCACTTGTTAAGTGGGGTGAGTCCCACCTTGCACTTAATGTTTGCTGGCAGCACTGTGCCACAGAGAAATAGAATTCACAATAATTGTTATTCTCTATTCTAAATTGTCATTTGTGATTGCACTATATTATAGAATACATGCCGGACATAATGCAGCAAAAGGCATTATTGGATCAAACTGGACACGTAAAAAAAAAAAAAAAGTTACTATTAGATATAAATATGTGGTAGGTCCTTTTAGAGTAGTTTAAACTATTTTGGTATAAGTGATAAATCATAATTTATAATTAATGTAAAATTTAAATTCTGACATTATTAAAGTGAAAACTCAAATATTTAGAATTGCTAGGCTTGATTAGTGAAACATCAAATAGTTCTTTTTTATCAAAAAAATAAAATAAAATTGAGGAAGTTACCAGTTGGCTCACTCATCTTGATCCTGTCCATGAATTTAGTCAGTTACGACTTAGAAATTAGATGTACCTAAAAAGGCAAGCTTTGGCTGAGTCAAGCGTGCTCCTAGGACTCAAGTGTGTCTGCGCGTGCAACTCATGGAAATCTGGGATGAATAGGTCTGGCTTTTTTAAGTTTTATTAAGATTATGTAATCATTTCCCAAAAAAAAATGTCTAAATGTAATTAATAATTTCAGTTTAAGAATTAAGAAAATTAAAATTTTCAAATAAATCTGTCAAATATTTCCCAAAAAAAAAAAGGAAAAAACTAGTTAAGGGAACCAGATTGCCAATCCGACCTTAGCCAACTGTGTAACTTCATTTTTCCCGCTCTAATCTAACTCAGCTTGATATAACCGTACCGGGCTCAGTGAACTACCAAACCATGTGCACACCCCTCCACTGAACGCCAAACCAACTAGGCAAACTCGTAGCCCATAGAGTTTACTGAATGGCACAGGCAGACTTCAGAAGATTATTGACAGGCGTCTGAAGAGCACAAATTCACCAGCTGCATGGAGAATTTCCACTTGTACTCAAAGCCAAAAAAAAAAAAAATTCATGATCAACTATCTCCTGAAACTTTAAATATGCGGAATATGCAATCTTCAATATATAACCCAAAGAAAAGTTGACTTTTGCATTTATAGTATTATTCAAATGCTTAGTCACATAGTGGGGTAATTGTGAAATTGTCAGGTATTCTTCAAGAATAGCAGCTTACAAAGTATGCTGGTCCTTGGGATGCACAAGCTCAGATATAATAGCAGCAGCAGATGTAGCAGTTGCTGATGGGGTTGATGTACTGTCACTCTCATTAGGTGGTGCAGCCAGGCCTTATTACAGTGATAGCATAGCCATAGCCTCATTTGGAGCAATCCAAAAAGGGGTTTTTGTTTCTTGTTCTGCAGGCAACTCAGGTCCTTCCAAATCAAGTGTAGGAAATGTAGCTCCATGGATCTTGACTGTGGGTGCTAGCTACACTGACAGAAGCTTTCAAACAAAGGTGAAGCTCGGGAATGGCCAAGTTTTCAAAGGGTCTTCTCTGTATAAAGGCAAACCCACAAAGCAGATGCTCCTTGTTTATGGAAAATCAGCAGCAAACAATGGCAGTGAAAGATTAGCACAGTATTGTGCTATGGGCTCACTTAATCCAGAGCTTGTGAATGGGAAAATGGTCGCTTGTGACAGAGGAATCAATGGCAGAACTCGGAAAGGAGAGGTAGTGAAAATGGCAGGTGGGTTAGGAATGATTCTGCTTAACTCTGCATCTCAAGGAGAAGAGCTTTTTGCTGATGCACATATTATACCAGCAACGTCCTTAGGAGCTTCTGCTTCTCAGACCATCAGAAGTTATGTTTTATCTGATAAAAAACCAACAGCTTCAATTTCATTTATAGGGACTGTATATGGAGATTCTGATGCACCAACAATGGCTGCTTTTTCTTCTCGAGGACCCAGTTTGGTAGGACCAGATGTGATAAAGCCAGATTTGACTGCACCAGGTGTGAACATTTTGGCCGCTTGGCCACCCAAAACTAGTCCAAGTTTGCTCAAGAGTGACAAAAGAAGTGTACTATTTAACATAATCTCTGGCACATCAATGTCTTGTCCTCATGCAAGTGGCATAGCAGCTTTGGTTAAGTCTGTGCACAGAGATTGGTCTCCTGCTGCAATAAAATCAGCCCTTATGACCACAGCTTACACTTTGAACCACAAAGGACTTCCAATTGGAGACATTGGCTCGAACAGATCATCAGAAATGGCTAACCCTTTTGCTTTAGGCTCAGGCCATGTTGACCCAGAAAAGGCATCTAATCCTGGGTTGGTCTATGACATTACTACACAAGATTACTTGAACTATTTGTGTAGCCTGAACTATACTTCCTCCCAGATTGCTTTATTATTAGGCAGTAAACGTGCCTGCTCCATTGATGGAAGTCTTCAACCTGGTGACTTGAACTACCCTTCATTTGCAGTTTTATTGCGCAGTAGAAATACCAAGAATGCTAGAGTGACCTACAAGAGGTTGGTCACTAATGTAGGGTACCCCAAAAGTAACTATGTAGTGAAAGTGGAAGAACCAATGGGAATATCAGTGACTGTTGAACCAAAGAATTTGAACTTTGCAAAAGTGGGTGAGAAGTTGAGTTATAATGTGACCTTTGTGGCAGATGGAAGAGCAAGAGTTTCTGGTAGTTCATCTTTTGGGTCATTGGTTTGGATTTCTGGGAATTATATTGTAAGAAGTCCTATAGCAGTAACATGGGAATAGTCATGAGAGTTTCTTCTATCTTGGGGTATGTCATAAGAGGCAGAGAACTTCAAGATGGAGAATTCATTGCTGTTGTGAAGATATCTCCCAAATTCCAGGTAGTGGGATGAGAGTAATTTATTATTGCTCTTTGCTATTGGATGCAAGCCGCTTCAAATATTGTTGTTGTTGTCATTTTACAAGTTTTTCTTTAAAAAAACCGCATGTAATTTAAATGCCAATGACTAAAATGTTCCCCTTTGCTTTGCATAGAGTCTAAGGTGAGCTGCATTATTCATAGCATATGAATACTAGCTTCATACAAATTTAATATTATATATATGGATGGATGGATGGATGTATGTATGTATAGATGGCAGTCTAAGTGTAAAAATATTAATTATAATAATATAATCTAATATTAATAAAAAAATATCTTTCTATATGAGGTGGTTTCAAGATTTTTTTTTGTGAAAATTAAAGAAATTAATAGGCTGAGAGCCACGCTAATTGATTCAAACATCAATGTTATAAAGAAATAGAGAAAAAGAAAAGTGTGGAAATATTCAAGAAAATTAAAGAAATTAATAGCTGAGATCCACGCTAATTGATTCAAGCATTGATGTTATAAAGAAATAGAGAAAAAGGAAAGTGTGGAAATATTCAAGGAAAGGTTACTCACTTACTTGTTGTTACTGTCAGAAGATTAATGAAATTTCCTCCTTTTTTCAAGGAAAGGTTACTCACTTACTCTTAATTTTTGTTTAATGCTTGAAATGATTAAACATAAAGTTTAGATCATGGTTCCAGAGAAAAACGTGCAAAAGAGAGTGACATATTTAAGCTATCCTTGAAGGAATTTTGAAACCTGAAATAATATACATGAAAAGAATATAATGACAAAAGGATCACATTATATCATATAAAAGCCATCCGAAAGCATTCAAATATGACAATAATTGAAACATCACACTCAGTATCATATAGAGCCCAAAAAATTATCAGATCATGGGGTAACACAAGGCCCCAGCAATAAAATGAACATGAAACTTGACAATAAATTCAACAATAGGTATTGTACCATACCATACCTCTTGTACAACAAAGTTTTAAAAACCGAACCAGTAATTAAACTAATAGAGATAATGGTTCACAATTTGCTGTTCTAACTTGGGAGATGGTTGAGAAGTGGAATCAGATTTTGCAATTAATTTCATTCTTGTCAGTTGTTTCATTTGTTATAATGGATTATCTCCAATTAATGTTTGTAGTGAAAAGCTGCCAAAAATGTTCCGAGGCAGCATATATACAAACCCGAATGGGGACAAGCTGTTGATAATTAAGAACTGACTAAATCTTTCTAAATTAATTGATTTAAGAACTTAGACTATAAGTGAATGATAGAAATGGTTCATTTGCCTTAACCATGCGTCTACTTCTAATTAATATGAAGATATTTTGAGGCTCCGGGTTAAAAAGTGGACGAAATATATGTTCACATTTTACTGTTCCAAATTTTGATGTGACCATGAGAATGATAGAAACAGAGAAGAAAGCTAGTCAAAGACTTCAGTGGCACATAAATAATATTCATTATTTTGGTTTTTTTTCTCATTATATAATTTAATAAGCTTCTCAAGAACTTTTCTTAAATCAACAATGGTGCCTAAAACCCATGGATTCTTTTTAGCAAGGGCATCCTCCCCATTAATGTTGACCATTAAAAAAAAATAAAGCAAACAGCAGGTGTAAAAATGCTCAAAAACTTTTTTCCAGATGCAAAAATACCAACAAAAAAAAACATATTTTCTAGATGCAAAAGTACCTTGTATCCCAAAAGTTATTCCAGTGATCCAGGGAAGGTTGCTCTGGTTTAAAAAAGTTAACAGGCACTCTTGCACATTTTTTGACTTAAAAATATTGGATACTCCTGATGAAAAAAGTTCTGAAATATTTTTGTCCTTTTAACCCTTTAATGAATTTGATGAACATTTACTTATTCCTTGTTGCCATGAGAACAAGATGAATGTAAATTAACAAAACAGAGAGTTTTTATGGTTTTTGGGAAGTAATTTACACCATAGAAGAGTTGCCGGTTTTTAAGTGTGTCACGCTTGTTGAAGATACAGATACAGATACAGTGTACAGTTTTGCAACTTAGAACTCATTTTGGTTACATTTTTGCTTTGCCGGGAGTAAAAATGCGAGAACTTACCAGACACAGGAGAATTTAGCTTACATCACATGTCTTGTTTTTGTTGATGTGAATATTGTACTGTGTTCTGATCCAGAGTACTGGTTAAATTTCCTATACTATAACAGCGGCTCTTGAAACATTATAAAATGTCGGCCAAAAAAGTTATGATTTGTTTTATCTTAATTAGCTTTTTTTTTTTTTGTGACATTGTAATTGATTGTAATTTATTTTATCAGATGATCAACTGTCACTAGCGAATATGCAGTTAAGCTTCATAATATCCATTATTTTTTATAAGGAACAGGACAGTATTCTGGGTCCCTATTCGACCCAAAATAACACTTCATATGACAAATTGAACCTCATTGTTCAGTTTATTTCTTTTTCATAATATCTATTAAGATTTGCAATTGTTTTTATTTCATTTTGTTATCTGTCATGTCTAGTGTCAAGAAATCAAAACAAATCGTTTTGAAAGTGAAGAAATCTAACTTCCTAGACGCTGATAATTTTAGTCCTCCAACATAAAAGCATCATTTCCTCGCATACCACCAAAAATATATATATATATATATATATCATTTCCTCACAAATTTGTCTTCCGAAAAATGGCATTTATTTTGGGGATATTTGAACTGTTAATAAATTTAAAGACGGCTAAGATATAAGGATGATACAAGTCTACTAAAAAAAATGAACATTATAATTTGTAATGTACATGGCTAAAACGGCAAAAATTGTTAAATATAATTCAAATTTCGTATACAGTTTATCTGTTGTTACTTGTTAGCCCTCTAATGAATTCATTATCCATCCTACGTAATTTATCAGCCAAGATGTAGATCAAAAGGAAAACCGACAAGAGATGCATAGCCAAATTTAAGATTTAATTACCTATAGCTGAAGTGAGAAAAAATACAAACTCCGCCTAAAAAAAGGTCAAAACAAGGCCTGGTTGTTTCAATGAATATGCTTAAGAGATCTACTCTTCATTTTCTGAAGAATGCACTTTCTTCTTAAGACGCCATTGATAGATGCATCCCATTCAAGGTGAATTTTCATGGGGCATTATTTACAAGCTTTGCACGTCTAGTTTTCTGATCAACTTCAACCCTAAGTCCAAGTGCTGAAATTTGCGGCAAGTCAACAGATCCCTGAACCTCCAGCTCTGCAACTACCCTTTGGTTCTCCTCATTCCCCTCCAACATATTCCTCACTGACCATATTCCCCACTCCCTAAGGAATGGATTGTCATCATCAGTAACACACTGTTGCAATAGCAGCATTATTCCATTTTTCTTCCTTACCTCATCTTGCGCATGCTTTCTTCTGTACACACAATTCCCCACAAGAGCAACAATGTCTCTCCTAAATCCCTTGTACAGGCAGGGTTTCCACAGCCTAGATGGTTCAGCTTCGTCTCGGTTGTCAGATTGTGTTACTACTTTCCTGATTATTGCTGGAGGCTCAACATCATGAAGCAAGGACAAAAGCAAATCAATGAGGCCATGTGATAATAATTCATTAACAGAATCCTCTGCATCCCCTTTGCTACCTGCTGCCACATCATCTTGGGCACAAATATCTCTCAATATGCTCATAGAGTATCCAAGAACGTCAATGGAAGCACAGTCAGTAGGTATACCAGACTTGGCTTTAGGGGTGTGCTCAAGAACCCCAATAGACTGCTTGAATATTTCATAAACAAACATTGTAACATCCTTTATAACAGTGATATCAGAAATCTTTTCATTCAAGACCTCTGCTAGAATTCCTAAAAGAAATGCTTGTTCAGATGTTAACTGATCATCTCTAGATTTACTAACTTCACCCTCAGAAGCAGCCCCAGACCATAATTTAGCGAACAATAGAGGCAACTGAGATTCTTCCCAGCATACTCTTGAAAGGAGTAACTTTAACCAGTCTTCTCCAAAACCAACTGCTTCGTATGGAAACCAATGAATAAAGAAAATAACAAAAGAAAAGGAATATAATCAAATATTCCAAAGAAACCCTCAAAAACCCAATGACAACAGAGAAAATTGGCACATTATACAAACAAATAGTTCTTATAACTTACCACAAGAAGCAGTTCTCACAATTTCTACCATTATAGGCCACCCACGATCACTGTAAAGCTTTCTAACTAATTCAGGATTCCCATCACAACATGTATAGATTATCATACACAAGGGATCGCAAGTCCCCTTGCTCCGGAGTCTTGCAAGAGATACAAAACCATTAGGATAGAGTTCTTCCCAAACAGCATGCTGATGTTCTTTCCCAGCCAATGAAACATTTGCCAAAACCTGCAAACCCACACGAACCAATCCCTGATCTGGGCCTAATAAACCTGCCACTGACGTTAAAACATTTGAGACAATACCAGCCCCCTTGAGCTCAACAAATGAGTTTTGATTTGCAATTTCTCCAGCACATAGATTTCTAAGGAACTTCAAAGACAGTGAAAGAAAATGATGCCGTGAGGTACAATGCACAGAGTGAATTATCTCCAGCACTGCTGGGAGAAGTCCTTTGGAAGCAAGCTCTGAACGCCCAGAAGCAGATTTGGAAATTTCTATGAGAATTTCTAAGGACTTTTCTAAGTCAGTCGAGTTTGAAGCCCCAAACAATAACTGAAGCGTATGCTCTGATATGGGGTACTCCAAGGTATCAGTATGACCCATTACGTATGAGAATGAAAATAAAGATTGAATAATGTGAAACACCCACAACTGTCGTTTGAAACTCAGTTTTTTATCCTGCAGAAATTTATCCAAAAATGAAAAACAAATGAAATTAATACACACACACGAAACACATCTCACTCTATCAATAGATGGAGAAGGCTAGAAACTACATGAAAGAAAACATTACAATAAACCACTTGAATATAATGTTGATTCAACTGTTATTGCTTACTCTCTCTTAAAACATGGTGTACGAGCTAGAGAGAAGAAAAACAAGAAAGGGTAAGGAAATTCAAAGCATCCACACCAATACTAATCAAAGACAAAAGGAAAAATTTGAGAAAGAGCACAGAAGTTTAAAAAAAAAAAAATAGAATCTAACTGGGAAGAAAACAGACTTCGCTGATCTGCTGCACAGCACCGACTGAACCTAACAGCAAAGAGAGGAAGAGGGA